GCAAGAAAACAAAAACGATTGAAGATAAAGAACCAGCTGTGGATGAGAATGAGGATAAAGCAGTACAGCTTTCTGAGTCCCAGGAAAGTGAAGGTTATTCCCAGCCATCAACATCAAGCAGTGTGTTCTGTAGCAGTCAGGAGGACTTCAAGGAACCTGAGAAGAGAGAAATGCAAGACAAAGAGGAAAGCATGGAATCCAGTCTGCCTGTTACCAGCATAGAGCCATGTGTCATATGTCAGAGCAGACCTAAAAATGGCTGCATAGTACACGGCAAAACAGGACACCTCATGTCATGTTTTACCTGTGCAAAAAAGCTCAAGAAGAGGAACAAACCCTGCCCAGTGTGCAGGCAGCCCATACAGATGATTGTACTAACTTATTTTAGTTAGACATGTGTTGACTGGAAAGCAGCAAAAGAAACTTCATAAACTGATTGAGAGAGTAAGAAATTATTTTTGTATGCTTATTGGAAAATTAATATTTTGTGTCTCTTGGTGTTCTGTGTGAAAAATAATTGCTGACATAACTGCACTGGAGTTATTAAGAGGTTTGCATAATACTCTTAAGTCAACTTGGAGATTTTAAATCCCTCTCAGTAGAAGTAACCAGGTTGTCTAAACAACCTGCCTCTCCAAGTGTTTTAATGTTCCATGCAAGTTAGTAACATTTGTTTTATTGAATTGAATACATGCATTAAACACCCAAATTTAATAATTGTTGGAGGAGAGACATGTTGAAGTGTTTATTTCTGCAAATTCCTCATTTAAGAAAATATATGATTATCCAGGTTCCAATTCTTGTTGCTTGGTGAAGACATAAGGCTCAATCAGACCCCTCTGAATAAGTCAATAAAATGAATAAATAGAATCTTTGCTTAAATTCTTTCAACTAACCAAATTCTGTGGGAGATCTTACCAGGAAGTAGGGAAATATGTGGTAAAAATAATTAATACTGTGGAAACAGAAAAGGGTATTGTGTGTCTTATTTTTATAGTGTGAACTGTAGACTTAAGGGCTGTGTGGCCCCTGAGAAGTCATTGATGCAAGCTCAGTCATACAGTTCTCTCTCAGATGTCCTGGGAAGCTCACACTTGTGGGTTTGGAGGTCTGTGCTGCTGCTGCTGATTAATTTAGCGTCATGAAACAAGTCTCAGACAAGATAAATGAAGGATATGCTATGAACTGTCATGTCAGGTAGTATTAGGGGACAGTTTTCTTTTCCTGCACTTGTTTCTAACTTATACATTCAACTGCATTGCTACGTTCACTGTAATAAAAATAGAAAAAAATTCACCTTCATCTGCAGAAACAATTAAGCTGTGCAGTTCCAGTTCACATTCTTTAAGTGCAGTAGTCTTTCCAACTCGCTGTTCTTATCTGTATCACGAGAATTCTGGAAGTCTTTTGCAAGGTGTTTGGCCTACTCAAAGTTGGTTTTGTTGGCCCTGTCCTTTATTGCTTTTAGCTCTTGTCTCCTCAATGTATTTTGTCAAAAACTCGGTGAAACTTACCAGTTCAGTGGCCAGGGAGCCTGCTGCCTGCCTCAGTTCTGGGGGCTGCAAGTATCACGAGAATTCTGAAAGTCTTTTGCAAGTCTTTGGCCTACTCAAAGTTGGTTTTGTTGGCCCTGTCCTTTATTGCTTTTAGCTCTTGTCTCCTCAATGTATTTTGTCAAAAACTCGGTGAAACTTACCAGTTCAGTGGCCAGGGAGCCTGCTGCCTGCCTCAGTTCTGGGGGCTGCAGGCAAGGCAGTGTGAGTGTGGGAACCGGGATTTGGTAAAGATCGCTCAGCTGCCTTTCACGTGGGGTTTCTGTACCCCATGAGTGATATTACTCCTTTGGAAAACTCTGTTACTTGCATATTTTCAGCACATTTATTTTTACATGTGGTTGCTGATTGTCTGACCAATAAGGAATGGCAGATAAACAGGGAGTGCCAAGAGTGGAGATGCAGTCCAAGTGCAGGAACTGTGCTGTGTTACCATCTTACAGGCCAGGGCTCAACTGCTTCCCTACCACCAGCAGTATGAAATGGCTAATGCCTGCGTGCTGGCACAGAGACTCCTGCTGCTCTCCTTGACTGCAGGGCTGCAAATGCCTGGAAGTACCCAGGAAAAGGACAGAAAGACATACAGGAGAGACTCAGTAAATCCTTGGTTGTGACTTGGTTGAAAAGTAGTAACTTTATAGGTAAAGACTGAATTATTGGGATCATTCACATTTTGTTCATACATGTGAGCTATTTCATTGCCAGTAAGAGATACTGGTGTACCCAAACTTCTAACATAGTTCATTTTAAGTAAACAAAATATAAACCCCAGTTGTATTCAAATTCTTACTTGCAAGTTCTTGCCTCCTGCAGTTTGTAAAGGGACATCAGGTAGCTGGAAGTTATTGGAACTTTTTTGATCAGCAGAAACCTTTCATGGTTTTACAGGATTTGGTAATCCTTCAGCCTCAGATGGAGAAGGCCTTTGGGCAGATAGCTAATTTTTTCAAATAGGGATACTAATAGAGGGCTACTTGCCTTACTTTGCACTTCCTATTAATGTTTTTTTTTAATTTTTGATTTGATAAACTTAGGTGCTGTGAGGCTTGCAGAGGCTCTTCATTGCACCTGCAGGTGAGAGAGAACTGTAGATGTGTATATGCAGAAGCATTGATAACATGGGGACTGTACCTGAAAAGTTTCATCTTGTTCTGAAGCTTTGTCCACTGCATTGTCTCCCACGTCCTCCCCTCTCTCAGCATGATGCCTTCCCTGCAGTGGCTGCCCTGGCTGTGTAACTGCAGTGCTGGGGGAGAAGCTGTCCTTATCTGGTTCCTGTTGGGACAAATTGTACCAACCCTCTCTCATTTTCAGTCACATGCCTTCTGTTGCAGAGAACAGCCCTGGAAATACCTTCCACTCACTGCAACAGGGAGGAAATGGGGCATTTTAATTTCTGCATCTGCAAATCACTGTGTCAAGTATTTTGGTTTGAGTTACATTTTATGGCTTAATATTACTCTTAATAACTTCTAGTGCAACTTTAATTTGTTTGGTGTGGGTGCATGCCTTCCAAGTGGAAGTGGTGGATATTGATGCCTGTTCCTGTTGGGGACACTGGCAGGCCAGTGCAAGTGCAGGCCTGTGCCTGGGGGCTGTGTCACAGTGGCTCCCGTGGGGACTCCCCCTGGCTGTGCCCCCACCCTGCCTCCCGGCCTGGCCGTGCTCCATGTGGGCATGAGCAGTGAGCACCCTGCTTGTTATGGCCTTAAACACCTTCCTGGCCTCGGGTAGTGGCACAAGTATCAGTAAAGTTTTGGTACAAAACTTTAGAGATCCTTATTTAATACCGCACACATTTTAATCTTTTAATTTATTGCTGTTTGTAAATATGCTTGTGCTCACAGTTGATGTTTTGAGCTCTAATTTATTGAATTAGTCTACTGCTACATGTGTAGTTATATAAATATACTTATTTAGTAAATCACAGGCACAAGAATAATATTTTAAGAAATGTAGCATTAAAATTCAGAGAAATACTCGCATTATAGTCAGATGGAGAAGGGCTCAGGAAGATTTATGGCTGTTTTCTTTCTTCCTTCCCTTAAAACAACTCCTGCATTGAACCTGAACAAGATTTATTGAATAGAGATGGTGCTGGTCCAACATCAGCATAGTGAAAATATTTTGGTGGTGTTTTGCTTTCCTTTGGAATGCTTTTGCATCCCTCAGTACAGGCAAGGACCTGACTGACTGCCGGGGTGATGGTCTAGGAGATGCAGGATGGTCTAGGAGATGCAGGATGATCTAGGAGAAGGTGATGAGAGGCTTTAAGGTTAATTTGCAAAGGTGGGAATGGCTTTTGCCTTTGGACACATGACCTTGAAGGTTGCAGGGGAGGCCAGATGCCCATGGGATAGGTCTGTAAGTGATTTTCAGTAATTTTCTTAGTCTCTTCCTTCTTGCACATCAGGTAGACAATAGTTACGTACAAATTGTGCAAGAACTTGCATTTATTCTTTTTTAGAAAGTACAATAAACCTACTTGTTTAAATACAAATCTTTAACTATTTACCTATTTGTTAGTATTGACATTTTATCAGTATTGAAATTTGCCTCACACCAGGAGGATTGTGGGCTGTGCCGTCCTGTGCCTCTCCCCTTAGCAGATGATTTAGAAAGCATAAAAGTGCTTCAAAATGCTCACTGCACTGGTGAAAAGCTTACATTCCTTATAAGAGTGTGGTACGATTTTTATCAGAGTTCTGTTTGCTGTACATTTGTTCAAATGTCACTGTCTCTGAAGTGTCTGTGGGTATGAAGATTTTTTTCAGATTTTTTTCTTATTTATGACTAATATGAGGAAGAGAAAATTCCTCATTCTTACAAAGAGTGTCAACAAGAAACAATTTTCTGAAACAGTTATTCTTACAAAATGGAGATTAGAAAATTATTAAGACCCTAATGAAACTGAATAAAGCAAATAAATAGGATGAAGATGGGGTGAAGATTTTTTTCTTCCCGATCTTAATCTAAGGCTGTTGTGTTAGGGCATAACTTTAGGTAGAGTTTATAATTTTAAAGCAGGTAATTTATTCAGCATATTAATTTGTCACACACATGGTGGGGCAGGAGTTATCCCTTGTCCCAAGAAGCTACAGCATTTTGTTGTGCAACATTTGGCTTGAAAAGGGGCATTTGCTGTTGCGGGGCTTCCCTGTGGGGAGGGTTGTCCTGGACAGTTCATGGGACTTGTGGACAGGCAGCGTGGCAGGGAGGGGCAGCCCAGCAGAGCCTGGCTGGAGCATCAGCCCTCTCCTTTCCAGGGGATTCCCTGCCCTGCCCTGCCTTTCCAGCTCCTCCACACCGGAGTCCAAGGCACATCTTGTTCTTTAAAGGTTGCACAAGCAAAGCACAAAACCCAGCCTAAGTTTTTAACAACGAATTGCACTTACTGAACATGAAAAAATTGTTGCTTTTAGCTAAAGTGTGGGGGTTTTGTTAGGGTTTTTTTTAGCACAGATGCACTGAAAGCTTCAAGTGAACGCTTCTTTAGTGGATCTATAGCTGTGTTATACATGTGAAATTTGTCAGTGATACTTAAAAGGTGGTGGCTCCCCTTTTGACTTGAGGCTGTTTTAGCTTAACAGCCTGCTTTTAAAGTACAGTTCTTGGTCTTGAGCCACAGTAGTGGCTGTCAGGATGATGATTACTCAACATCTAATACCAATAGCTTTTCTAAAACCAGAATCTTTGTTGTCTGACTACACATAGCTGGGATGACTGTTGAATAGTGTAGTTCATAGTGAATTTAAATAACTATGCAACATGCTTTCAAGAGCTTGACCTGGTACATTGCTTTCCAGCTACCCAGTGCATGTATGACCACAGTCAGTAACCATTAAAATGCAAGTATCCACTCCAAATGCACACAGTATAGACCCATTTATGAGAGTTTCACGTGTGTTGCTTTTATCTTTCAGTTTTCAGTTTTTCCTTTTCTGATGAAAATTGAGTACTGTGTTCCATTTAAAAGCTTTAAATAAAGATTTGTTTATATACTCCATGGTGCTCTTTTTTTTTCATGTCAATTACTTGATTGTTAGAGTTCTGGTACTTTGTTTTCACACAGATTTTTACTTTTGTGAGCCAGCACACAGGCTCTTTCTGCCCCCACTCAGCTGCTGGACTGCTGACTTCTGTCAGATTTCTTCAGTTTGGGAGGTTTTAACCCAAGGAATCTCTCATTCTTCTTGCTGGAAGTGGCAGGAGCAGTGACAGGATTTAGTGGATAATTACTTCTCTGTGTGGTAAACAACACACAGCAGATCAGAGGGTGAGAAAAGGTAGAAAATGCAAATGGATATGAGGAAGACATTCAAAAACCAGTCTCTTGCACACACAGCCCTCATTGCTTTTGGCACTCTGTTTCAAATTCTAAGTGGATTTGCACACTGAATGTGGCTGTCTGGCAGACAAGTGGCTGATGCCCAAGCTCCACAGCCCAGCTGGTAGGGCTTGGTGTGACAGGCAGCAATGCCTTGGGAAAGATTTTAAAAGGCATTAAAGGATTAACTGAATTCCTGCATTTTTTATTTACTGTATACAAGAAAAGACTGATGTTTCCAAAGATAATCTTTGCTGGTTTACTTTTGAAATTGCTCAAGAAAATTACTGGCAGATAAAGCTTTAACATAAACACAGGAGATGGTACTAACTGGCTTTTCTTGACAATTTTTCTGTTTATTGGGCAGCTTCAAAGGGCCCTAAAAATGACTTGCAACTGGCCAGGCAAAAGGAATCTGCTAATCCTGCCTGCAGTACAGCCTGGCCAGGGGAACACTGAAAGCACCCTCTGTAACTGGAGCTGGCTGGTGCCTTGCTGATGTGCCTGCCAGCTCCTGGCAAGGGTCTTAAACAGTCCCAGCAGTGGAGCAGGGCTGTAGAGCTGTTGAAACAGTATAAAGCCATTGCTAAAACTATTCAAAGAATTCTGAAGTGTATGTGGTTCTGTGCCACATCAAATTCAGTTAAAAATGGACACAGTATAAAGCTGTCAGTGACTCTTTCCACATTGCTTTCAGCAGCTCTGCTGTAGGAGAACAGTTTTCAGAGCCACAAATTCCTCCCTTTTCCCTTCTCCTTCCTGCAGATTATCATCCAGCTTCCACAGCATGGCCCTTTGGTAGATACTCACATTGCATTTTCATCTTCTTGTCTTAAAACATGTCTGTGTTACTGGCCTTTACCTCATTTGAGCCCTGAGCTGTCTCACCTGTCCAGGTAAGAAAGAGCATATATAAGAATGCCATTCTTCATTTATAGCAGTGGCTTTATTGTGAGAAATTAGCATTGAGCTGATGACTTACAGTTGTGTGGCACCTGAGCTGTTGGCTCAGTGAGGAACCTGAGCTTGCATGAAACATTGCAGTACAATTCTCAAGGTTTTTGAATTTGGGAAAAATCTTCAAAATGTATTTGTACTTTCTGCATCAAAATTCTACGGTTATCTCTATAGGGTGTATAAAATGTCTTCAGAGTAAAATATTTACATAGAAAAACATGATAGTCTGTTACAATTAAAAATATGTCTGTTATAAGTAAAGTAAAACATTCAATTGTCAAACCAGTATTTTACAAAATACAGTAAACATCTGAATCTGAGAATTTGGTTTATAAAAACATACTTTCTTATGCATATACAGTTCCTTCTCTGAAAAGCCACATTTGTGCAGGAAGATTTTGCCTTTGTCATTCCTGACTTTATTTGAAAATTGCAAGCATAACGGTCACTAAAACCAAGATATGTAGGGTTGGTTTTACTGCAGCTGAAGCCCGTGTGAGCTCTTGGTAGAGGGGAGTTTTGGGACATGAAGCAACTCTTGAGCTGATCTTATCTGAGACCTCTGGGAAAGAGAAATCCTGTTTCAAAGCACTGAAGTTTCCAGTGTTGTCAGGTATTTCCACTGTCTTCAGCATGGATTTAAATCCTGGTACAGTAGCCTAGGAGCAAACACAAGAGTTCTTGAGCATTGAGTTCAACTGTGAAACAATTAATATTTACACTTTAAATGTACAGGGCAAAATGTTCTAAAGATACATTTGAGAACATGGACTGGGAAAAAGATAAAGGATTTAATGTTACAGCAATAAGACAGTTGCTGTAGAGTCAGAATCCTGCAGTGATGCTTAAGCATAAGCCTTTGGCAGCGTCAGGATGTCCCAGTTCTTTGGACTTCCACAGAGAAACCGTTTTGATACAAGGAAATGACAGTCACCCATGGTGGTGCCAGCCCCTGCTGTGGATCCCGGGCTGCAGCCCCTCAGCAGCTCTGTGGTTTGTTTCAAACACCTCAAGCTCCGTTGCCGTGCTCCAGACTCATCCCAGCTGGCTCCACTAAGGTCCAGGGAGTGCTTATCTCTGGATACTGAGGACTGGAAAAACTCCCTTTCTGCTGACTAATATTTAAATACATAGTTTTTTTAAAGTCTGCTAAAGAGTCTTTACACCTCCTATCTATGACTTGAGCAGCTCAGCTCAGCCACCTCCAAGGCTGCAGGGTCACTGTGCTCAGGAACTCAATGCAGTTGGAAACAATCCTTCAGTAAGGCTGCATACTCACATTGATCACATATGTCCCAGGCAAAAGGAGAAGAAAGTACTCCCCTTGTTCATTTGTTCTGTAGGGGCAGACGTGTGGCCTTCCTTTGGCTTCCACGATGGCGTTGGGAATAGGATTCCCATTCTTATCAGTAACTTGGCCTTTGACACCTATGAAAAAGGGAGAGCAAGGAAAGATAATGAACTGTAACTGGTGAGCCTCCTTCTCTGAGAAAGGCAGACTGTTCTGTTGCTGGATGCACTCAGAGGCTATTTCACCACTTTTCAGCACATCTCATATAATGACTAGACACCTCGGCCTTGCTCAAGGGAATTAAACCAGAAAATCCTTGGCTTTTGTTGTTAATAGTTTATCCTCATGTTAAGTTAGAAGGGAGCATTGTAATCTCCTCTTCCAAATCTCATTTGCTGAAGGTATCATACACACTTACTCTATGTTCTTTACTGAAGGACTTCAAGCTTCACTACAGGTTTGGCAGTTTTTGCACACAAACACAGACACATTCCCCCTTCTTTTGTGATTTAAAATAAGTCAGCCTCTTGTCTAGTATTTCCCAAGGCAGAATACCAACAATATCTGCTTATGAAGTAGTTTCCCTTAATTCCCACACACCATCTTCAAGGCACCACAGGCAGAGATAAAATAGCAGTCAGCTATTTAGGGCAACAAAATGCAAGATAAGCAAAAGGTCTGTGCAAACCCTTCAACTCATTGTAAAGCACCACAGCTTCACTAAGCAGCAGTTCTCTTCCAAATGTGAAGTTGCATCATACCTAGAGAAGCCTTTCAAATTTACAAAATCCAAGCAGCAAAGACCTAAAGACACTAGTGGTGAGGCACATAAACACTTAGAGACCTTTGAAATTATTATTATCCCAAGGCTGCTCAGGAATACAAGGGGAGGGGGGGAGTGCATGGTCAGACAGCCCCAGGGCCAGTCCCTTGCTCCTGCCCCAGCCCATTTTGAGCCCCTTGCACACCTGTAGTAGCCCCTCACCTGACACACTGTAAGTTCTCCTGCCTTGCCCATCCCTGGCTTTGTAGCACTTCCTGTTCAGAAGCTCCCAAGTTAACACCAGATGTCTCCCCTGTGAGCTGTGGCACTGACCCAGGCTGCTGAGGAGCTCCCTCTAAGCTGGTCTCAGTTCTCACTCTAGCCCCACTCACATACCCACCTAGGTGTACTTGTTTGATATATTCAATCAGAGCAACTTTGTTGTCTCTCCAGAACTTTCCCAGCTGGTCTTCTGGAGGATATTTACAGCATGACAGCTCCAGTGTAATTTCAAAACACTGTCCCCAGACATAGTTGTAATCTTGCATTCCACCTTAAAAGTGAAATAAAAGCGTTTTCAGCTGCAAAGAAACACTAAAGGTCAAACTAAAAGACAAGTAGGAGAGTTAAAATGTTGGTAACTTTCATCATACCTGTAAGAAAAGTAATTCAGATAAATTATTCCTCAATGCCACACTTGTGAAAAGTGCCTCCTGTGAAAAACCAACTTAATTATTTACTCTAGTTATTCAAAGAGTGTTGTTTTGTAAAACATACTTCATTTTGGAAATGGTGATGATTGTGGCTGAGAAAGGGTGGGTCTTTGACTTCAATTCATTCAAGCTTTCCCAGCCAAAAAGGGACAGATAGGCTGGCATAGGATTTGCCACTGCCAAAGCCATTCCAAGACCCTTTTAAGTCTTTTAAAACAATGAAAACAACATACACAGTGCACAAGCCCCATATTCTATCTGGCTACACATAAACAATAATGAAAACTTTTATTTCAGCAATTAAACATTAAAAAATGGATGACATATGAATAGAAGATTGCTTTTCTTCCTGAAAGGAGAAGATCTTTATGCCAAGCAGTGTGTGCACATGTGTGTAATATATACAGCTACTGCAGGCCTTAAGTAAAGGCACAGACGCAGGCAGACAGCAGTGACTGCCTCATTCACTTGTGTAATTGCTGGCTGGAGGAGTCTGAAAACACCCAGGTCCTGCTCACAGAGTGAGTGCATGAATGAGTTGACTTGCTTCCCTCATCAGCCCTCTACTCTGACTAAAATCACTGCCCTTTCATCATCAGAGATGGCAGGAGAAAGTGAGAAAACATCTTACCAGGAGCAGCTGAATGAAGTGTCAATGACATTCTTACCTTCCAGCTGGTACCAAGAGTACCCGTTGGTAATGCCTTCTGGGAAGGTTTGCCTGCTGTCACACCCTGTCCCTTTGTACATGCTGGCGTGGTTGGAAGAATAGGTTTTTGCCAGGTGAATAAAGACATCATCATCTGGAGATCTGCTATAGCCTTGCAAAGAGCCAGTAACTGCAGAGTGAAGACAGCCATTGTGCAACTCTCATTACTGGTAAAACACACTGGTAAAACACAGTTTTACATGCAGGATAAACATCTCCCAGAAGGCCACATTAGGCAGTGAATTTTGATGAGATTTATCAAATTCTGCCCATCCCAGCTCAAAAGCTAGAAGAACTTTGCAGGAATACTTATAAATTTTGCTTTGGTACAGCCAACGTTGCTAAACCCAGTCAGTTGTGAGAGAACAGGGTTTGTCACCAGCTTACCTGGGTTACCATTATCAAAGGTGTAACTGGCAACCAGGGCACCCCCATGCAGGTTTGCTGAGAGAACAAACGTTTCACTTTTTATCCAGTCCATTACTGCTCGAGTCTCTGGCTGAATCTTGGCGCTGTTATTTTCAAAGGCATCGGGAAAATTTCTGTTCAGATCTTCTCCATTCTTGTTGTACCTTAGAAAGAGAGAAGACATTCCCATTACTGTTTTGCCTGTGGATGCTTCCACATCACCAGCCTCCCAGCTCTCCAGATGTGTGGTGTGCCAGTATCTTCAGGGAACAGGGAAGATGACCATTTTTCATTTCTCAAGCATTATGTTGATGGAGTTCAGTTTGCTTTCTGGCAGCACTGGAATTTTCATAGGCCACAACAAAACAATTCTAAGTGGAAACAGAATATTGAAATGCACATAGAATGCACACCTACTCATAAGTGAATTGGAAAAAAGAGCCAGATCAGAAGGACTTTGTCCTCTTCCTGTATGTGTTTTTCCTGCTTGTATAGAAGACCAAGGTAACTATTGAATGGCTGTATCCCTTGGGCTCTTCTCACTCTCAACAGACAGAAAAAATTGAGTCAAACACAGGATGCATTTATTCTCCCTGAACCTTAACGCCCAGCCTGTTCAAACACTCTCTTGCTTTTTCTCTCAGAAGGTCAGTACAGGAATGAAGAGGGTATTCACTGTTGACTGTGTTAATTTTTGAGCTCAGTCTGTTAAACTCTGTCTATTTGACACTGAGGGGATAAAAAATACCCACCTCCATACAAGTCCCATCTATTTGCTGAAGAATACATTTTTTCTTAATAAAAATGATGGCCTACACTGGTCGCCTAAAGAAGAACTGAACTACCTAAACTTTCTTTTCACTTGTTTCTGATGTTGCCAAGGCCAGTGATCCAAGAGAACTTCTAGCTCATGGGTTTGCTTTTTCTGCACATTCCAAATCTGCCATTTGGGCGTTTCTTTGCATTCTCTCACTGTCTCTTTCCCTCTTCTAGCTTGTTAAGCTTTTCATCCCCTTTTTGGTCTCTGCAATAGTCACAATAAAGAATGCAAAAGTAGCACAGGATGTAATGCCAAGTTATATTTTCTTCTGTGTAGGTTTCTTTTCCTACCATCACTATTATACCCAAAGAACCTATTATAGCCAGCTCTGCTTGTGTAACTCCTCCTTCTTATTAAACTCAACATGATTTTTAAACACATGGCTAAAGTCCATTCAACAACCTTAGACACACCTTTTTTCATTAAGAAGGGTTACAGGATTCTCCAATTGAAATAAATCCCTGTGGGTGGAATTTTGCTTATTTTCTTGTAGCACTCTAAAGGTGCTACAAAATAGGGAATTGTGCTTGTATTTGCAATCTGGGTCTCCTGCCTAAAAGCTGAGGTCATTACACCATTCTGACCAATATTTTCTGGCCACACCACATATAAACACCAGTCTGACTCAATCTTCCAGAAACTCTATGCCATAAAAGGGCACAGGCAAAAATTAGCCCTAGCACATCCTGTAGACTCTGCTCTCCACCAATTGACTGTGATTCAGTCTTCTGGCTAGCCACGATTACTACTCCCCACCCATTTATTTTACCTCTCCCACCCTCCTAAGCCACCCTTACCTTCCTCGTGTGTAATAACAATCAGGCACTTTGGTAGCTTCAAATCCATCAGGATTCATCGTTGGCATGATATGAATCCGGGTATTATTGAGTAACCGGGTAATAACTGGGTCACGTCCATAGCTGGTCACCAGGAAATCTATCAAATGGAGCAGGATTTCTCTCCCAACAGTCTGTGTAAAGAAACACAGAATTTACTTTAAGTCTGATATGGAAGAAGAAGAGTAAGAAAATAAACAAATAAAGATCCACCGCCTTGAACTTCAGGTTTTTCTTATGGATTTCACAGACACACAAGGCATATGAGAGCACGCTGATCCACACTACTTTTTTATGCTCTCCCCTAAATATATTTAAAGCAACTGAAGAGATGAAAGGAATCACTGGAGGGTTTTCATAAGGATTTTAAACCTAGATCAACCAGACCTTTTTGTATAATGGGAAACTGACTGTGTCAGATGCACTGCTTGAATCTTGCATGGATAAGGAACAGCTATAACAAAAACTAAAGCTGCCTGATAAAGCCACACCATGTGGGCTTGGGAACTCCACTGCATTTTCTCAGTCCCACTGCAGGGTCCCAGCTCTGAGCTGGTGCCTGAGTGACCCCGCACATGAGTGCCAGCACTGTGTGGCACCACTTGGCAGTGGAGTTTCAGAAGGAAGGGAGGACAAGTCTGCCACGTTTTCCAGGATGACACAGAGCAGGATTTTTTTCTTGTTGATCCTCTTTTATGGGAAGTCAGTATTAATACAAGATCAAAGAGACCACATAGATACTTCTGCTACATTGTTTTATTTAAATGTCATGAGGATGTGCACCAAATAAATTGTTAGAAAAGGACATGGAAAGACATTCGGATACAGACTTTAGATCAAGGAGAGGCAGTGGCAGAGAAAAAGCCAAACACATATTTTTGTTCATGTAAGTTTGTGTAAGTCATGAAAGCTAGCTGACATCTCCCTTTAGTCTATCAGATTTTAGGTAAAACAGTATCAAGTACAAGATCCAGAGTTAAGGACAATTCTATTGAACCCCAGAAACCACTGCTGGTGTTCACTGTACCATACTTTCCAGGGGCACTTTCCACAGCGCTGTGACCCATGCCTCAAGGGTGCTTTAGGGTTCCTAAACCCTGTCTGGAAAGGGAACAAACCAAGACTTGCAAGTAGATGAGTTCTAGAGATAACTTATCTCTACTTTATCTCCAAGAACAAAGCCTGGTCTATCACAACAGGATCTAAACCAGCACCTGAGTATGTGAAAACAGACTGCTCTGCAGGTTTGATAAATATACTCTGTGAAATTCAAGAAGGGATGCAACAGAACCTGTCTTGTACAGGCAGCTCTTGAAAAGGGTGATAGACATCTTGGGAACATTATAAGGGTGGGGAAGAAATGAGAGGAGAGGAGAGGACAGGAGAGGAGAGAAATCAGCCAGCTCATGGCCCTGGGCATGAGAGATGAAGTTACCAGACTCAGAATCAGCAAGAATAGCTCTACCACAGAGACAGCTAAACTACAGACAAGATTGGACTGCTGCCTGGAGAACCTGGGAAAGTGCCCTTCTCCTCCTGTACTTCACTTCAGTGCCTGAGCAAAATAAGGCCCAAAGAAAGGGTAGAGAAGCAGGAGCAGAAAGGGGGAAAAAAGAAAAGTAACAAAAAATGTGGTGGAAAGGAACAATGTTTACAAAGAATGAAAGAGTACCTGATTTTCACAGATCATATTATTTGCAATTAAAAGTTAATCCCAGATTTACTTACATGTACAGTATTTTACAAACTATTTTATAGGATTCCTTGTACTCAGGACATTAGGCAATTCAGATTATCATAAGAGTGCTGGCACTTGGGTGATTACACTGTGAGAAAAGAATATACTTATTACCACTGTTTTGGTGTGGTAACAGAGGGGTGGTTTTGTTTTGGTCCAAAGCACCCTGCATTCCTTGGGAAAGCACATCTGGAAGTATCTGAGGGAAAGCTTTAGTTTCTGGGAAAGTTCAAGTTCAAGGTCAAGTTTTGCTCAAGCCCTTGGAAAGCATCTGCTGCTCAGTGAAGCTTTACCCTGTTACTACAGAGGTCAGGAGCGTCTCTGGATAGGAGTTATGAGTTTTATTTTAGAGCTTCAAATAAAGGATCTAGACACAATGAAGATACATTGCTGACAGTAAAGTCGAGGACAGGTTCAGGTTTAATATGAAGACAGAGAGAAGAGCAGGAGATAGCATGTATGTGTTCTGGGGCTTTGAGAGGACATGAACATTTAGCTTTGATTGCAGGATCCCAAAGGAGATGAGATGCCAAAGTAGATTGTGCTATAGTATTTCACACAAAGGGTGACAGAAAAGCAAAGGAAATCCCATTCTCCCACCTCTAGGGATACAATTAGACATTAAGTTTCTCTCTGTGCACTATCAGATGTCAGCTTCCTCCTGTGCCCCAAAGGGAGAAAGTGAGCAGGAAAGGTTTTCAGTGATGCTCAGGGGAAGCCCTGAATGAAGAAGCGTGCGTGTGTCAGGACATGGATCAATGCTGTAGAAAGGGTGCAACTGCTGCTTCTCTACACAAATCCTTTAAACCTCCTGACTCTGCCTGCAGCAGGGCTGCGTCAGCACCCTGCTCAGCTGCCACAGGGATTACTCAAGAAGCCAGAGAGGCAGCCAGTTAGGAGATTAAGGTTAGGTCCAATTGCACCTGTGCTGTAACACTTTACTGCATCAGCCCCGGGTTTAGAACAGTGTTGTTACCACATGATAGAGACCTAATACCAGAGGACTATGGGTGGATGGACTCTGCCCATTTTTATTACTAAAATTCTTTCCTTAAACATGGCCTGGTTTTGAAGCTGAACGATGTTGAAAGAAAGACCCAAACCGTCAGGTAGGACCTGTTTCAGGGCAACACAGCCTTGCCTGGCTCCTTGCTCCAGCCCCGGCTGCTCCACAGGCCGGGTTCAGCATACCAGGCACAACCCCACCTAAGGAAGCACAGTGTGAGCAGTAGGCCAGCCTGGTTTCCCACTGAAATGCCACACTTGCAAGATGTTATTTTTAACACCTGTACTGCACTAATTGTCATGCACGGCTGGGACACACCCCACTGGGGCTGTCCTCCTTGGCTAGAACACACCAGCCTTGCAGTGACTGCTTGTGCCAACAGCTTGGCACACATCCCTGCACTGCTCCAGCAGCAATCTCTGTGGACATCTGAGAAACAGCACATGTGTCACAGGGAAGTGCAGCTCTCTGGCTGATCACTGCAGGAAATGCTTCTGAACCAGTAACTGGACAAACTCCACTGGCTTCAGGATTTACCTGGCTGACATGTGGGCAGCTTTTTCTTTTTCCACTCAGAAGAGTGTGAAGAAAGATAAGGAAAAAAGTAACTGCAGCAAGGCAGTGTTCAAATGTGCTGAAACACACCTCAGCAACGTCCAGCTTTTTACAAAGTCTGCTGTTAGCACTGAGATTTGATTGTTTTGAATTTTGAAATCTCTGGTGCTTCTGACCTTTTTCACATCACATCAGCTAATACTGAAGCTAGGTGGAAAATAGTTCACCATGCAATAAACATTTTTTATAAATTTTTTTTTTTTTCCTAGAGTAAATACTGTTTCCCTGCATATCACTTCAATAATATATCAGACAGGACTGGGACATGGGAATATGGAATTACAATTCCTTATAGCAAGCTGTGCAGTATATGAAGTATTCTTTTTGTGCAATTGGATGATAAAAAACCAGCCTTTTTTCCCCCAGTGGTATTTTGATAGTGTAAATGCAGCTTCCATTAATTTCTTAGAAATAAGAGTAAGAAATTCTACACAAGACTCATTAGTTTATTGTTTGGCATTTTTTTATGACTCTATTATATTGATCATAAATAAATCTACTCCAGCCCTTATTCACTTAAGCCCTAATATTTCAGAAAATCCTGCCGTGGATATGACTATGTCTATGATGACATGGGAAAGAGGGTAGAGTTGCTTTAACTTATTTCACAAGATAAGGCAGCAGATGAGCACATCCTTTCACAGGCTAGTTCAGACCTATCAGCATAGGCTTAGTTGCACACAGTGAAAGAGGAAAAATACTACTATTTAAAATAATATTTTATATTACTATATTATTATATAATTTATACGAGTATTTTATTTATATTATTATAAAAACTATTGTTTATTATAAATAAGCAATTGTATAATTTAATATTATTTGCATTGTTGCTACTTTATATACTGAGAAAATAAAGTGATCAGAAGCGCACACTTTAAAAGAAAAGGGCTGATATCAGAACTGCCATCCTGAGAAAGAGTTTATCTTGTGATGGTCCAGTTACACTACAGCTGCAGAAAGTTAAAGCCACTTACTCAACACATGAAAGGGGGAAAACAGAAACACACAGGAAGTTTACAGCTTGTTCAGATGTGCTTTTCCTTCAAGGGTTTCCCTGCAGTGATACACATGGTTCAGGAAGAGCCTTCCAATTAGATCCTCTTTGTTCAGTTGTACAGAATGCACTTAAGTCACTGGCCCAGAGGGTCCAAATGGTTTTGCTCCATTTATGACTTAGTTATTTGGTTTGTACTAGGGGGTTTGGTTGTGGTCAATATTAAGCAGGAGGAGTTCTTCCCCAGGGAGGAATGTGTGACTTAGAGAAGGCCTTTCAAGTAAAAGCCTGGGACAAGAGAGGCTGCTGTCTAATTCAGGATGGGGGTTACCCCAGAAGATCAGGCAACCTCTCCTGCCCCTTCCCCCTGCAGACTTTATCAACATTTCACAGGTTCATGCATTTTGTGCAGTCAATTACACCATCTTGATTAAAGTTAGCTTAAATCAGTTTTAATTTGGCTCAGGTTAACAAAAAGTACTGCTAAAAATGGTGTCCAACTTCATACAGGCAACATAAAGAGTGGGAGAAGTTTTTTGTTGCCTCTCAGTGGACCTGGGGCAAAAGTTCACTCTATCTGGCAATAGTGAACACAAATTAAAATCTTTTAAATCTTGGCTGGTTATGTCTTAGAGTATCAAGAAAAATAAACTTAAAAAAAATAAATCTTTTCAGTTCTGAAAAAAATACTCCTTTCATGGCATTGTGTACTCAGATTACTTTATTAGAACTTCCCTATTGGGCAGCTTTCCAAATAACCTAGTTTTTCTTCCAGCAGCACGTGTGAACAGCCCACACACATGTAATTCAGGTTCCACCCCAACTTTTATGTTTCTGGAGCAGTGGGCCAGCTGAGTCAAAGTTAAGTGTCATATGTGTGATCATAACAGGTTAGAAGGGCGGCATCAGCAAACTACATTTGAGAACAGAACTTTGTTTTTGTATCTTTTGGGGAAAACAGCACTGAAGCACAAAAGACCTGACTGGATCAATGAAGCCATAATCCCACAATTTCAATTTATGAAAGACTCTGGCAATGCAAGTTGAAACTTGTTGTATAATTAGTGCAAAGCTTATCTGCTTAATATGTTGTAGGAGTAGTTGAATCTATCCCCAGTGACTAGTCCAGCAGAATCTTAGATTATGGGGAAAAAACATTCAAGTTTTCATATGCTTCTCTCTATGAGGAATTAATTTCCTGCCATCTGAAATATATTTATGATCAAATTAAAAAAATCCAAACAGCAACTGTGTTTGTATGTTTGTTTCACCTGTACGTACCAAAAAACCACATACAGCAAAAATCATCATGTGGGTCTGAAAAGGAGGAATAGCTCTATTTCTGGAATGTTCCCTAGGTGTGAGCTCGGTCTGACAAACAACTGGAATGTTGGAGGCCTTAGCCAGGCAGCTCAAGGATCAACCCTGTTCAGACCGTCTGGCTCTGTGTCTGACTTTAAAGGAAAACCTAGCCTCATTTCCTCATGAAGGCAATAAAAACTCAGATCCTAGGCAGTGATCCGAGTTGCCAATCCCCAGCAATTCCCAGCCCTGTGGATGTGCAAACAGTGTGTGTTCCTATGGTCAAAGCTCCCTGTGCATATCCAGCTGGGCAGTGATAATGACAGGGGAGCTTCCTTGTGGAGACTTCAGTATGTGTGGCCTTTCACAGTCCAGCAATATTGGATTTGCAAGCCAGCCCGTTCTGGGTGAGATCATATCCTGCCCTCCACCTCCTCCCCATCAAAGCTGGGTGATTTACAGTCAGAGGTTTGCAATCCCCCCAGCAGTCCACAGGGACTGCAGCCTCCGTTCCTAGATACCTTGGTGACACACACCAGGTTCAAGGCTGCAAACCCTACCTTGGGCACCCAGTAACAAATGTACCCATCTGACACCATGAATCAGCCTCCTCCCACACAGAGTTAAATTCCCAAGCAGTCCAACTCCCAGCAGCGCTTTGAGCAAGGCCAGTGTTGAACAAGGTGAAACTAGTCTAACTTGGGGAAAATTCTTGGTACATAATGTCACAAGTGCCTGTAGGCGAGCCAGTGCTCACACACAGCAGTAACTCTTGACACGTTACCCTTTGCACAGGATACACTTTCTACTGTATCTATCTTTTTCTTAGTTTTGGAAACCTTGCTACTCCTGCTAAATTATTTAACCTTCACATGAAAGACTGCATACAAACATTTTGTGCAGTTTAAACTTATCCTGCAGATGACTAATATAATCAGGTAAAGGCAAAGAATAAAAGAAATGCAAAGCAAAAAAGTACTATTGAAGACAGTGAAGCTTTGATTCTTTCTGATTCAGATTCAAGTACTGCATCAGGTAGGCTCATAATCATAATTTTTCCTTGATCATTAATAAGTGGGCATTCTTCCCAGAGCAAGTCTATTGTTCTGGCATTGCTTTTTCTTTTGTACTCTGTGTTATCTCAGGTGAATCTAGCTGTTCTTAGCTTAAGGTTCCCAAGATAAATTTTCTTCCTACAATAAATAATTTGATGCTTCACAGCAATTATTATTTAATCTTAGGATGTATTTGAAGAGTTCTATCAGTCATATTTCATGCCTAGGCAATAACAATGTACAAGCAAACTACTGCATCAGACTCTGCTGGGAAACTGAAAGCCTCTGGGTTTACTCACTTGGAAAAGACAAAGCTCTCTGCTTAAGAGAGGTCTTGAGTGTAGGATTGTTGGACTCTTCACCATGATGTAAAGTCTCCTAAGGTCCTTCCACCAAAACAAGGGAACTTTATTCTGAAAATTCCTCAATAAATACACCCATATTTTGTCTTCCTTGAGTTATGACATACCTCAATAATAAGAAGCACATGCCTGAGAGAAGCTCACTCTAAACCTCTGGTAAGTGTATTTGGTATAAATGACAGTGCAAAAATTGAAACGTACCTCATCCCCATGCATATTAGCAACATACTTGAACTCTGGAATGCCAATCTTATGATGGGTTGGAAACCTTCCCAGAACAAGAACCCACAGGTCTCTACCTTTAAGAGGGGAAGGGGAAAAGACATTTTTTAAAACGAGTGTAAAATTATACAAGCCTTAGAAGAATAAAAAGAGTTGGTCATGAAGACCATTGTACAAATTCTCATATTTCATTGGTGCCCACTCAGTCCTATATACAACATATCAAAGTAGACTGTGGGGTTCTCTTACTCTATGAATATTTGCAATATTAGCTATAGGAATAAATATGCTTTGCCTTCTGCCCAAGTACAATAATAAACCCTGCAATTTCTAAAGCATTTAACCAGGACTAGAAAAGGCTTTTTTTTTTTTTTTGTAATAAACACTTTTCAAATTAAATTAGCAAATAAGACCACTCTTCTCCCTCCCACCAAATTTTAAACCATAAGGCTTTTCTGAAATATATACAGAAATTTTCATTATCACAAAGAAAGAACATCTGGTTTTGTACTAAAAACAACACAAAAAAGCTAAACACATTCATGCATTACTACTCAGAAAACAGGAGGTACCAGAAAGAGCTGTATCAGAGACATATTTCAAATATATCAGCAGGGAAAGAATTAATAGCTCCAGAAAGAGTATTAATTAGAACCAGTAAAGCTGCACAAGAAGCTGAACTTTTAGGTACCAAAATAAACATACATACATTTTGGAAGTCCACATTTAAGCAGGGGGGAGAGGGAGAGGAGAGGAGATTTTTTGTTATTATTTTTAGTGATAGTGTGGCATTTCAGACCTCATCTGCAAATCTGTGCTTCCCACTAGTCAGCTCAGCGAGGTGGAAAACTCAAGTTTCAGTAGATGGCAGCAATGAAATTGTACCAGTTACTTGATAATAGCAGTGACAGGCTAAAGATTGCTATTGCCAGACCTCCCAAGCGTGGTAGCTGTCCCCAGCTCCACACAGGAACTTCTGGGGCCCACGACCCGTCTGAGAGGAGCCCAGCCACCCCTGCAGGACAGACAGAACACAGGCACTGCTATATGCAGTACTATAAAAAGCCTTACTTCCTAAATCTTTGTGGACCATCAAATCTGCAGTAAACAAACTCCAGAGCGTATCAGCTTCCCATTCCTGAAGGCATGACCACTGTAGTCATGCACATGCCACAGCATTTTTGTTTTCTTTTCCAGCCATGCAACTGACTCACAGCAGCTATACCACAAGGTCATGACTTCAGGAATGGGAGAAAAACTTGAAGAGGACCAAAGCAACACTGCAAGATGCACTGAAACAGTTGTAAGAGAGGTAAAACTGAAGACAGTGGTTGCCAAACTAAATTCTCAGTTAACAGAATCAGAGTCTTAGGATCAAGAAGCACCAAGACAGTGCTGAGAGCTGACAGATTCAACCAAAAGTGATCTCAGTATCCCCTGATCTTACAGCTGCTCTTGAAGACATTGGTGTTCAACCCCTGTAACTGTGCCATGCACAAAGCTGTGAGATGATGCTACTGACTCTTTGATTAATGGACAATGTGAGCAAGCAATCCATACCTTTAAAATAATTTTGTGGCAACTGATTTGGTAAGGAAGCTAGTTATTTGGCCTTGTTGTATGTAGAACCACCGTTTCATAAAAAAAGAAAGATTGACTTCTGTAAGCCTAGACAAGTTGCAGAGTGGAGAACCCAAAGATACTAGCTTTTAATCACATTCTTCTTCAAAAAGGAAAGAAAGAGAACACACAAATCATCTCACCCTAGCCCTTCTCCCTTCCAAAACCTCAAGAGGTCCCCTCAAATCTCAACCTGCAGCTCTGTGAAAATAGATGACGAGCCTTGCTGCAGTAGCATATGCTTGGAACTGAAAATAATCCTAGCAGTGAAAAAACTGTTATTCATAATTAAGTGTGGACAACAGCCTCAACTTACTTTCCAACTCTGCAGTGTGTCATTCTCTCTATAGCTGTATCCTGGGGCAACTTGCAATGAATTACCAAGGAAGTCCTTCCAGGATGCTGCTATGATTCTTTGTCCTTATGCCCTCCAAGCCCTGCTTCCCAGCTGTCATTCCCTCTATTGGAAGGCAAGTTCAGACATCTCTCCTTGGTGTCAGTGGCCATGTGGACTTCTGCACCAAGAGGAACACACCTGCCTACAGCAGCAGCTGCAGCCTTTCTGCCACAGCCCAAACCTAAAGGTGGCTACTGCAAACCTGCAACATGCAGCTCATAACACACACTCAAGTAAAGAGTCCACGTAAAGTGCCCTAGATGTTTCCATCATTTAAGATTTTCTACGAATAACAGCGTACTCTGATATCAAATTAAAAAATAATACTTCCAGTGTCTTGCCATCAGCACTACTCGTTCCTGCTGTTCTCACTGTGGATTGCACTCATGGGAAACACAAGGAAGAGCTAAGTATAGACTAACATTAAGTACTGATGTAAATTGGTCTTTCCTGCATTAGTGTTCAGACTGTTTAGAGTTTGCGTGAGGGCCATCTACATGATAAACACTCCCATGAACTGAGATACCAATTATTTCCTGGCATTTCCAGCTTGTAAGAAGTACTAAACCTTCCATTAACAATTAAAATACATTCCTGGGTCTGCTCAGCCTGCAGTACTGGATAGTGTATCTGTGAGGGATGATGTAAGATTTCTTCCCATACGGCTGTAATTAACTGCATGTAAAAAGATTCAGCATATGGATGGTTTCCTTTAATCAGCAAAGCCTAGATAACTCTGGTTTGGTACCTGAAGGGAACAGCTAAGCTTCCTCTCATGCTTTGAAAAGCCATTTCTCATTGCCAAATTGCCAAACCAAAACTGACGTCAACTAATTAGTGAACTATATTTCAAGTGATGAATATAAACGTGTGTTTCTAACTGTGTGTCTCAGGACAAGCAACAAGACTTGTATTGGAGCAGAGCCAGACCACACAGCTCCTAGTAGAATGAGAAGCCTTTTTAACTTTTTTAAAAGTTTTCCAGCATTGCCACTAGCTTGCAACATAGTGTTGTATTCTAAACAGATGTACAAAACCTGGTAATTAAGGTGAAGAATTGAAACTGATCTCCAGATCTACTGTGAAAGAAATAAAATCAATTTGTAGATGTTAGAATCTTGATTTTGTTCCCTGGTTTTGCTCTGAATTATATTTCTGCTTTTCTTCACTTTGTTCTTTACAGCTTCACTTACGAAAACTCATAATTTCAAAGGAAGTTATGGCTAGGAAATGAAGTGAAATGACTGGGGAAAGGCTCAGACCCACTGTCAGTACCAGCCAGGCTAGGGTACTGAAAGAAAAAGCAATAGACTGACTACAGACCTCCTGGCTTGGCTGTGAGTTGCACACTGGCTTCATGGGTAGGAATTGCAGTAATGCTGATCTGTGTTGGGGCAGCCCTGCCAAGAAAGGTGCAGGACAGAGAGATTAACTCTCATTAGAATGCAAGGTCCCAGAGCAATTCAATCATAGAACCAATCTCAGAATCATTGAACAGCCCAGGTTACAAGGAACCTCAAGAGATCATCTGGTCCAACCCTACGTGGGAAAGGAAACCTAGATAACACTATTCAGCACTTTGTTCAATTGCATCCTTAAAACCTCCAGTGAGGAGGACTCTACCTCATTTCTGGGGAAGTCATTCCAGTGAATGAGTCTCACTGTATCAAAATTTCTTATATTTAGAAAAGGGCACCTCTCACAGTGCAACTTGTACCCATTGCCCCTTGCTTTTCTCCACACTGCTCCTTGCAAAGAGAGAGGAGCCACCCTCTTTATAGCCACTCTTCAAGTACTTGAATTCTGTGATAAGATTCCACCCTAAGCATTCTCTTCTCCAGGCAGATGAACCTCCTCGGGGCAACATTGTCTCCAGCAAAACACTACCACAGCTAATGAAGGTCTTTGAGAGAAATTCCTTTTGCTAAACTACCATCAGCAGCACCCTTGCCCTAAGGTACTCTGATTTGTCATTACCAATTCAAGCTGGAAAATCTAATGCCATTTGGAACTTTTCTTCTGCAAGGGGACTGCCCAAAAACACACACGGCTTGATTCAGATTCTAAGAGAATTTGAAGTACCAGTACATTATTTGCATAACCAGAAATGGTTAATCAGAATGACTGATATTGCAGAAGTAGCCTTACAAACATGAACAAATATGTGATTTTAATCTAGCCAGACTGAGTAAAACACTGCCAAAATAAGCTACATACCTGAAGCTGAAATCAGACAAACATCCATAAGAAACAACTGCACATCAAATTCTTTTGTGAGCATTTATCCTTACTTTCAGGTATACTGATACAGAATGGATTAGCTAACTGAGACAGAATGGATTAGCTAAAGACCTGGCCTGTAGTAGCACTGTAGGCATTAGTAATGAACAAAGTTGATATGCCAAGAAGAGCTAGAACACTAAAAATCAGAAAGTCTTCAAGGTATTTTAAAGAATAAAGAGATACAGATCAATCACATACATCAACCAGGCATGTTTGGCAATATTCAGCATGGTGCTTAGATAAGCAGAAAAAAAGCCAAAAGCACCCAAGGTAACATTTGGCTACAGGTTTATCACACCACAGTCACTATGTGGGGGCCTCTGCTAAATTGAATACTTCTGGCCTCTTCCCACAGATCCCTTATTACAGACTTAAGGCACTCTCTCTCAGCAAAGAGTAAATAGAAATATCAATTTCCCACTATTGAATCAGCTCCTGTCTACTCCAAGAGATTATAGCAGTCACTCTAAATTAGAGACAGCACCATATAAACAGAACTGACAGAATAAACAACGACTCTAAAATACACTAGATACTGTTTATTTGTATCCAAAGCACTTGAGAAGGGAAGGGAGTCAAAACAATTCATGGTTCACATGCTTGCTTATCATCCTAAACGTTCAACTAAATCTTTGGTTGATTGGGATCCATTGCTGCTTTGGACACTTTCACAAGACTTGGATCTTGAGAACAGCAACCCTTTCTTTCCTATGTACATGTGAGTCATCACTGTACCATTTCCAGTTCTCAGAATCAAGTTGAACAGAACTTTTTATA